GAAACTTTGCCTCATCCACCTAGTTTTGGATTGTTTTAAAGAAGGCTGCAGAGCAAGTCTGGTCTTTAACTTACTCTGTTTTATTCCAGATCCTTTCTCCTGCCCCACCCCATGTCACTGGCTTCTACATGACCTTTCACTACTACCACAGAATTTCTGAAGAGACCATTAAGGAATGTTTTGAGTGTGGCTGCTTTGGCAGCTGTCATTTAATTCAGCATACAGTCCTCTTATACAGCAACCCCTTTTCTGACTCACYCATAACTATTGCTTTGGATTTTTACTCATCTGGATTCCTGCTTCAGAGAGGATATCCTTGCTAAGAGAAAGCTGTATGCTGCAGTATTTACTCATTTCTGTGACCTGCCTCGTTACTGCCAAGTTAGGAAACCTAAAATTTTWCTTCTGTTGACTTTGAGTTTGATTCAGTTCAAAGTTCATGGGTAGTGTGATTTGCATGTTCTGGGGTTTAGTTAAAGCACATTATAGACATAGAAAGTTAATTGTTTTGCATGTTTTCTCTACATTTTTCTAATGTTTGGGTAGAYGATGGACTACTCTTGTTCATCTTTTGTCGTAGGTAGGTCATTGGAGACTTACTTTTGCTTATCTCTAAAGAAATGTGTTTGTAACTCAGAACTGAATATAGTAAACTCACTGTCCAGCACAGTCTGTTCTCYCTCTTGAGACATCTATTGCAATTGATGGGCTGGAGGGGGCTCTGAGCAGCCTGATCTAGTGGGAGGTGTCCCTGCCCATGGCAAGGGGCCTGGAACTAGATAATCTTTAGGGTTCCTTCCAACCCAAGCCWTCTGTGATTCTGTGATTATTGTCAGTGGAAGTTTGTAGCAGGATACATGAAATGTTCATGAGGTGGTTTTGAGTTTGGGTTTTTGTTTTTTTTTAAATATTGCAGCTGTAAGGAGGAACTCTTGTGGGGAACAGCTTTTGCAGACTATGGTAACAGTCATTATATAAAAGTATGTGATATTGGTTGAGTTTGAGCATGCTAAGTGAGCTCGGTTTTATCCCGTGAAGAGATTTCACTATGGCCTCCTGAGGGCAGTCTATCCTAAAGCATTATTGTATTGGTAATGGTGARTAAAATTATAAAGAACTGGAGTTGCCTGTGTAGATGCAAAGCTGATGGCTGGCATCCCTGTTACTGGTTTTCTGAATTCCAKTTCCATATATCCTGAGATGTTGGGGATTCTAAGTCATGGCTTTWAAAGATTGAAAGGATTTCATGCTGAGATCTGTGAAATTTGGATTGAAAGTGGAAATCTAAATCCTAGCCTGCAAAATCTCTGTATTACATTATTACCTAAAGTTAAAACATACATTGTAATGATTATTTATTGCTGTAAGACAAATTTTCCTGCTTTGATGTGTTGGACAGTTTGAGAGGTTGTATTGCATGACACTGAAATGTGTATTGCCTGTTGCACTTATGTGACTTTTTTTTGGAAGCACAGTGTAGTTTATTTAAGTAAAGCAAATGAAAAATGAACTCTTCAAGGCTAGGAGCACCCACTTGATTCAGTTACTCAGTGTTTGAAAATATAGGTCAAGTTTAGCAGTGGAGAGAAGTAATTGGGTGTGCTTAATACCTGAAGAAATAAGAACTCTGCTGAAGTCTCAAATTATGTTTGATTTTCACACACACATTGTGTTCAATTTCAGTTCATATGCTAAAAGCTCCTTTTTACTGTAGATATGTCTGTTAAGTTAGTAAATAATGCTATGTGTACCTTGCCAGACATCCTTGGATCATCATAACTATAATCACTACTGTATTTTTATGTTTTCACTTTTCATGTTAACTGCTTATATCTTTTCAGGTCGGGGTATAACAAAATTGCCAGTTTGAGTATGCTGGTCAAATGCCRTGGGACAACACCCAAGTAAAAGCCACCAAAGCTTACTTGGTTTCATTACACAAATGAGGCCAGCGTCAGTGGGAGCATGGGGGCAGATGTCACTGAGCAAATGGAATTGTGTGAATGTTCCCCAACATTTCCCAGGCTGCTCGCTGATAGTACTGAGGTGTCCTTGCATGTGTAGGATGCTGATGAGTTTGAAATTGCTGCATGATTTTGAACAATTTGTTTAGGAGTAACTGCAAACYGATTATATGGTATTGCTGAAGCTTGTTAGTGAAGCAGTTTGATGTTTTGTGAATTCTAACTTGCAGATCTCCCAGGTCTGTATTTCTAATGCTGATTGCATTAAACTACACGCAGCTCTGTGCTGGAGGCTGTACTGTCAACACCTGTATGCTGATGAGCTGTTAAAAGCTCTGAGCTGCAGTGTTTTAATTTTGCTCCTGTCAATATGGCCTTTTAGCCTGTTTTTTTTTTTTCAGATDGTTGGTCAATTACTGAAAACCTACTGCAACTTCAGAGAAAAGAAGGAATATAGAAATTTCATGTGTTTTGTTTAGGTGTCATTTAGTGTGCATGCATGATTTTTGATGGTGAGATGTCTTTGCCAGCAGCAGACTGGAACTTCATTYTCTTCAGGCTCTTCTAGCTCTGTCATTGGAAGGCATGTATAGAACAGACAGCACCTGTAATTTTATAGTTCACCATAATTTTCAGGACACCAGCATGGACACCAGATTTTTGCAATAGACTACAGGTGCCCTGCGTGTTTTATAGAAAGTCTTACCTTACGAGGCATTTTCAGCACCTTTTACAGTAGCTCAGAAAGGTCCTGTTTGTGTTTGGCAGTCTGGGTTTTGTACCTCAGTTCTCCAGAAATACTCTGTTCCCTGAAACTGTGTTGTTAAGTACATAGGGGAAAAGTCCTACCATAATCCATTCAGTGTGATGAGATTTATAGAGCTCCTTCTGTAAATGCTGTGATCATTGTGTGCAGTGGCCATGTACTGTTATTTTTTTCTGCTTTCTTGTTCTACAKCTGTTTCTGGACTATTTATGCTACTAAAGAACTCAAAAATGACAGCAGTTATAAGACTTGTCCAGTCCCCAGGGTTACCTGTTGCACTGCAGTTGTTTTACAAAGAACAAAAGTTCTAGGTGGTATTGAACTGAAGTTCATTTTTCTCCATTCTCTGTATAGCTGCTGGGATCATTGCTGAACAGGTACTGCTGCTTGTAGTCTGGCTTTTTTGCTCTAGACATGACTGAGCATTATGTTCCAAACACATTTTTATTAGAGATGCAGTGCAGTATTAAATAATTTTATGCTTTAATCAGTTCTGTTTAAGGCTGTAAACTGGCTTAATCTTGAGTTAGAGTTGCAAGCTTTAGGATAAGTCAAAAAATACTGTTGTCTAGAATACAATGTAAATTCCTTGGGGCAGGAGCTGTGTTTGCATCTGCCTGATGTGTTTTATGTGCTCATACTTCTGTTAAAACAAAAAATCTATGCAGAGGGGAGGCCGTTTCTTTCAGTCACCTCAGGAGAATGAGATAACATCAGTAAATTCTACCCCTTGCACATACATTTGAATTGTGAGAGAATGAATTAGCCAACATGCAGGCCTTTCTAGTCCATTAATTAATTTATCTCTAGTGCACAGTGTGGGTTTGGGAGCTGGGTCCCACAGCATCATGGCATGTTGGATAATGTGATCTCATAAACTACTTACATAGGAAATCTGTTTGCAGAGGTAAGGATGTAGTTGTCCATGTATGGGGGTCGAGGCATTTCTTAGCATACACCCTGAGTAAATTAAAATAGACTTTGAAAGTGGTGATATAGAAAGAAACAATGATTTATAAGATGGGGTTTCAAGTTGGACTGGTTTTGACCCCCAACCACCAGTTGGCTTTGATGGAAGAAAATTGTGTATGTTCATTAATTGTCACTGTTGCCTTAAAGCGGCAGGATAAAGGCCCTATGCATTTAGGTATATGAGCAGCTGGAAAAACCTTCATGCATGTGGAATTTTGCACCTCCTCTTGACAGAAGTTTCTGTCGTCATCCAGCATGTCATTGCATTGCGTCTTTGGCTGCTATGAATATGCTTGGACTGTTCAGCTTCCTAAATAATTTGAAGTCTTCCCATACCTAAACTGGAAGTCTTGCAAGAAGTCAAGGCTCCTTTTCTTAGTCTTAAAAGATGATGAAAGTACACTCACAGGTCATACTGTCTATCTTTGGACTATGTGTAAGGAGTTTAAACTTCTGAAAGTTACTTTGATGCTTCCAAGAATTTCTGGTTTTTGGCTTGAGAAGTGTCATTTGCTTATGCCATGCTTCTCTCTGAATTTGTAAACCCAAACAGTCCCAGTAACTAAGTAACAGCACAGCTGAATGTTTTCATAAAAACAATGTTGCTGCTTAGAGATGTGATTTACAACSTAAGTGTGTCTGTACATATATACGGAGGCAAAAAGTGATGATGACCTCATCTTCAACAARCTCAAAAACCCTCGGTTTTTTGGCCCCCAAGCCAAAGACAAACGTACTGTAAGCAGACACAGCTCCATTGACTTCACTTGCAGTATTGCCATTAATATCAGTGCTCACTTAATTGCTGACATAAGCCTGTTTGTAGTGAGCAATCCTGGAACTGTAAACCCAAAAGAAAAAATGGATMATGTTGCATGTTTCCTGGTATCTTCACATTGAGAAAAGAAGGAGAAACTAGTTAATAGTCAGGATTTTATAAATAAATCTGCCCCTTTTTAAAAAAAAATAATATTTTTTATATTGTTTTGTTATCAGGCTCTTCTTAAATGAATTTAACAGTGCTCAGACCATGCCCTTAGAATCAGTTGTAAGTGATGGCATATTACAATTACTAGAAACACAAAACAGACCTRCGTATTTTCTAACCTATTAAAAAAAAGTATCTTCCAGTACTTCTATTTGGAAAAAGTGTTTTTCCAAATTTCTCAGAATTTATGAGTARTGTTCCTCTGTTTTGTTCAAACAAGATTCCTGGTCACAAGCAGACTATTCTGATAAATTCTAGTACTTTATAGATGCTGCATGTAGGCCTCAGTTAATCTGTATCCATAATATTTTTAATTTCCAAATCTTCTACTTGCATGCTTGTACAGTACTGAAACAGTTATTAATCTTTACCAGAAAGAAAACTTTCTATTTGTGTAATATTTATTGATGTTAAACCCACATTATATCAGCACAACAGTCCAAAGTAATGATAATACATTTTTTATAAATACAAGTAAAAAGTGGCAAAATAATGCTAGTGAAGCTAAACAAAAAAGTAAATTAGCATGTCACAGTAGAGGAAAATTTGGCAAAAGATATGACATACTACTAGAATAGAATCAGATTATTCCCACTTGTYAGACTATGCCGTTACTCTAGATTAACCATCCCCATCACTAGTCATATCCTGCACCAGAATAGTACTACCTTGTGTGCTAAAGTTTATTAGTCACTAAAAAACAAAACAAACTTTGTGTACTTACAAAGCAATACACGTATAGCAGTAATGCAATATATGGTGTACACAATTACAAAATTAAAAAAAAAAAAAACCCAACAAAAAAATATCCTAAGTACAGGACTTCTGAATAAATGAACTGAGATAAAAGATTTCAACACTTTTATTATAAATAATGAAAGATACCATATATGTGCTTCATATAAGGAATACAGTGTTTTCCTTTTCTAGCATGTATCGTAGTTCGTACCATCAAACACTCATTTTCCTTGTCAGGCCTAGTATTTCTTCCATCCATTCTCCCTCCCTCCCCTTCAACTGAAATTCATTTGGTTCTAATTTAAAACTACCTAGTCAGGTGTGACCTAAGTGGGGCTCCACTGCCATGTGGATTTGCTTTGCATTCTGAAAGTAGCCTTCAGGCTTTTCACCTGTAGTGCACAGTCTCTACTCCTCAATAGAACTGTCCTTTGCCTACAGTCAGGAGAAGGGAAAAAAAAAATCTACCAGAGACATGTTACGTTAAGAACAAAAGCAAATAGAGCAAATTGGATGTTTTTGCCTATCTTCATTTTTTCTACTTCCTCAGATTTGCAAGCCTATCACCTGTGGTGTATACTTGTCACTTAAAATCCATATTGCAGTTTCAACCCATTTTTCACTTACTATACATTTCTAAAATCCTCATACATATTACACAAGCTTTAAACAGTCAAACATCCCATACACTCCCTAGTTTTCAGCTCACCTTAGAATTTCAGAACCTTGAATGGGAGTATTACAAGATTACAGACTACTGTCAGAAAAGCCAAAGAGTTTCAACTTCTTGTCCAGTCCCCCTCCCACCCCTTGCAGTAACTCACTGCAGTGGTTCATACTATCAGCATTTTTTCCCCATCTAGTTACCAAGGCGTAATCGGGAGTAGATTGTTGCTATGTGTCAGCTCTTCTTTGTTGTCCTGCAGAAGTTAAATTACTTCTGCTTAGACTGCCTTTGCTATATGTTTGTAAATAAGCCTCCTCCTAGATGGCAAAAAGGAAAAACACAGATGAATTGAAAGTTAGGGTGTTGATGTCCATACTAATAGCATTGAAAGAAAGATTTTTTTCCATTGTTGAATAGAAAGCATTTTGCAGAGATACAGTATTTGCATTTCTTTTCCTTGTCCCTTCCTGTTTTATTCTTATAATATTGCACTTGTTCATTGTAGCTGTCAGAATGCGTAGCCATTTTAGAACTGTTGATAACCCTTGAAGAAAACATCTTGCACCGTTAAGATTGTGTAGCATTTACTTACTGCTTACGAAGGTATGTAGTGAAAAATCTTTCTCTCTGATGCATTTTGGCCTCTATGAAAAGGGTTCTGAAGCAACATAGGTTAAGGAACTGGTGAGTGTGATTTGTTGTGCAATGTGTACATTTCTATTAATAATCTATCTATTCTTCTAATTTGGTATAATGAATAAGGAATACATGGTTACTGTGTTTGTTGTTTATCTTTTGTACATGAAGGTGTCTGCCCTTGCATAAAGTGACGTAGGAGTATCATTGGTCAAGGCAATGGCTTTCAGTGTTTCTGCTTTGAAAGGAAATGATGGAAGCGGCAGTTGAATCTACAGATCATCACTCTCTACCAGGCCAGGCTGCATTGTCAGGTGGACTGGATTTGCTTCGGGCTGGAAAGCTGCTTTGATGTCAAGTCCTTGGTCAACAAGAGCAGCATATCGGCTGGCTGAGGGCCGCACCTTCTTTGGCTTGGTCTGCTGAGGTGGTTGTTGCCACTGAGCTATAGATTAACAAGGAAAGAAAAAAATGTTAGCCCTTTTGAGCTGTGCACCAAAGCCAGATGCCTAGTCAACCCTTTGTGAAGGAGATACTAATTTCTGAGAAGCAGAAAACCATGATATCAAAGGTAAACTTGTTTAACTTCTTGGCGTTTTTTTTATTTTTTTCTCAGTATCTAGTTTCACCTTCAAATGTAAGTAAATACAACAGTCTGTTTATTTTTGGGATTGCTTTCTACATTTCCTTGTGCCACTGAGAAGAGTGACAGCAAGGAGGTTGTTTCTGTGCACTTACATTGTAGAAATAGGCCTGTTCTAGGGTTAGTTGTTGCATATAAAAGGAAATGGTCTGGTTGCTGTTGTCGCCGCTTGTGTGCTGAAGAACGCTGAGCCAAGTCTCTAATTCACAATCCTCACTTCCACCACCACCCCAGAAACCATCCTTTATCAGTCTCTCCCCTCCCCCCTCTCCATTAATTCTTGCTATGAGAAGACTGGTAAGAGACACTGCTTTATGAAAACATTCACTACATAAGGGGCTGCTTTGGAATGAACTAATTATGCAGAAAGCCATAAAAACACCTACTACACTTTTGGCAGCTGTCACAGGTGTATTACAGACTAAAGTACAAAAGAATACAAATGGTTAGAGAAGTGCCAGCAAAACAACAGTAATAATGTTCCACAAAGATAATATAATCATGCTGTTATCTGTTGTTAATTAGTTATATTTAATGTACTAAGCAAAAACAGAAAGCATGCATGCTTGTTTTGCTTTAGGTGTCTGTCTGAAAGATGATGAAATATACTTTGACAGAGCATTTGTTGTCTTGAAGTGGATGTTTACTATTGAGGAGAAACTATAAACAAAAGAAAGAGAGACCAACGTAAACCATTCGGTAAACAATCCAAAACTTGTAGAACTGTTGTTTTTGGGGGGATTAATATGATCATGAAAATTGAAACCACTTACTATAAACATCCAGCCTGGCGGTGCAAGACACAATCCCAGCCTCATTCTTAGCTGAAACAGTGTACCAGCCAGCATCCTCCTTTGTAGCGCCCTGAATAAGCAGGCAAATGTAGCCGTAGTTATCCTGGTGCATGCTAACCAAAAGAAAARTAGAACATTATTATTTAAATGGCAAACCAGTGTAGGCTATTTTAGAATGTCATTATAAACTGACCCAATCTTAGTTACAGATTGATTGGAGTCCACTTTTAATTAAAATGGAACTTTCTCTGAAATTAGCAAGTAGACAATAAAGCCTTGAGTATGCTTGACAATTTGACAGTTTAATATCCCRTACTGAAATCTAAGAAGAAAAAACACATGAAGCAACTTTTCCTTTCCAGTTACAGATTAAGACATCTGGAGTAGCAGGAACAACAGATCTTACCCAGGCTTTTTGTGGAAAGGATAAAAAAAACTCGAAGATCTTGAAACATAAAATATTGAATCTTAGCTGACTGTTCAGCAGAATTATGAATCAGCGTTTCTGCTGAAAAGCACATAGCATTCCTTTTGAACCTTGACTTTCACCAGCAAATTTCTGTAGTCTTGGTTCTGGAAGGGTAAAGCAAGTTCTCCTCTTGCTTAGAGTGCAAAGAGAGTTGTGTAAGTCTAATGATAGAAAACAAGTAACATTTTGTTTCTGGCTCAGCCACCTGGCTGGCTGCGAGTTTGAATAGRTGTCATAAATTATCACAATCACTAGTTAATATTTATGAGATGCTTTTTTTTTTTTACACAAAGTGTTCATGTGACCTTTTAGGTTTTTATTTGTTTTACGGGATAAATCATCATTGAAGTTACACATAGGGATATTATTCTAAGTCAGTCTAACCTCACTCGGTCGGTGTTGTATGTAAGTGACTCATTCTCTTTCTTCCAAAATATCTGAGGAGATGGCTCCCCTGAGATTCGACACTCCAGTCGCACTGGGAATCCCTCAGTCACACCTGTGTTTTGTAGCTTCTCTATAAACACAGGTGCTTTTTGTACTTCCTTGGCTGTGAAAATAAAGATTGCAGTTATGTTGACATTTGTCTATGAAAATATAGCCTTTCTTTCAGCAGTGTGCTAAAAACAATCATGAAAGACCTAAGTGGCAGGAAATGTAAGTTTGTCTTTAGTCACGAAGCTCAGTCCTGGTTCCTCTGAAGAAAACAGTGCTATCTTTATTTAAACAGGGAGAAAAACGAGTGCCAAAAAGCTGATTCTTCCCTAAAATAATTGAAATGTAGAGCATGACAACTACATAAATTGGCTGCATTATGTTTGGTAAAAATCATATACCTTCATATATCACAAAAGTATGACTTTTAACTGAAGAAGGAACTGCTCTACCAGAAAACTGCAGTGGCGTTAGACTGTTATGCTGTGAAATGCACAAGCCATATCCTGCTGGGTGCCCAGGGATAGGAGTGGGTCTGTGCAGATTGTCATTACAAAGAAACATCCAGGGAAATAGTCTGCTTTGTGGCCTCGGGCCAACAGCCCCCTTTTCTTAACTGCATGCACAGACATTACGTGCCAGTCACTTTATGCCACAATGTAACATGAATAGCTCATCTATAAATACACTCTAGTTCTGTTACTGCCAGGTTTCCTTTTTCTACTCCCCACCCCTCAACGTGTCATTTGACATCACTCATGTTTTCTTTTTTCATGCTATCCTGGCAGTACTCAGCCTGAAAGCTTACCATGAAGATATTACCTGCAACAGTGAGCTCCAGGCTGAAAGAATTTTCACCAGCTCGGTTGCTGGCAATGCACGTGTAGATTCCAGCGTCTCTCGATGTGACTGGTTCTATGATCAAGGAGTGCACCCCATTCTCACGCACCAACATTTTGTGAGAGCTGTCAGGGCGAATTGGTCTGCCATTGAGTTGCCAGCTTAAGTCTGGAGTTGGTAATCCACTAACCTTGAGTGTAAAGAGAATAATGGGAAATTGTTTTAGCCACATGAAACGCTGGAGGATTCCTGACTTGTTACTTCAGGGAAGTTTGGTTTTGTTTGCTACTGCAGGTGTACCAAAAGATTTAAAGATCTAATTCTGTCCTGACTTACACATTGAGTCAGTTGTAGTCATTTACTTACTTTCTGGCCAACTCCCTGAATTCCATGATGTCTCATGGGCGCGACTGAAAAAAGATCAGTGTTTAGATAGGCTAGAAGCTAAATAATAATATATTGCAAAACAAAAGGCAGGGTGACACCTTTTGTCTTTTTTATTGTTTGCTCTTCAGGTGGAATGAGAAGATTAGCTTTCTAGATTAGCTTCTTGTTGGAGAACTTGCAGATCAAAAGATGTGAGCTGACTAATGACCTCTGAAGTTCCATTCCACCTAGGTGTACCCTAGCGACAGCACCACCTRCACTAGTTAATGCTTGGTCTACGTGAACAAGCCTTGTACCTTTGAAAGCCGTGCCACTTGCTGAGGGGACTTCTTGAGAGCTAACAACTTCTCCCAGACAGGTCAGCATAAAGTAAACAGAAGTCACCCAAGCCTGAATTATTTCTGCTAAGCAGAGTCATAAATCAGGCTTATAGTGTTTGGAACTTCAAACTGGGGTTGAAAACTCAAGCAGTAAAAGGACTTAAAGTGTAGAAACACATTATCTTTATAGTGTGTGCTGCTTCCCTCCACATCCCAGTGTAGCTGAATTCTATAAATCAGTTTACTGTGGCCTCTAAGATTTGCCTGAAGCACTTTCACTAGAGGGGAGGCAAACTTTTATTGTCCACTTACTCACTCATAAGCAATGAGATTAATTACCCTACTAACAGGTGCCGAAACTGCCATTAGGCAAAATAGCTTTGAAAAGAGACSAGTGTGGTTTTTGAGTCAGCTGATGTTATCAAAAGGCTGCTGCTACCCTTTGCATGACACTTGCCTTGCAGTCCATCCTGCATAGTTTTCCTTCTTGAACAGTCAAGTCTCCAGGAGCCTGCAGAAAATGAGGCCGGAAGAATCGTTCCTGAATTGGTTCATTTTCATCACCACTGTCCCTTGATCGAGATCGTGGTCTTAAAATAACATGAAATAAAGGTAAATTATTTTTTTTCTCTGCTAAATCAGAAGAACCATAATCACTTAYAAGACTGCTTTGAATTTTACACAACTTCTTTGACCTGTACCATAATCAACCCAACTTTACATACATACACTGGTAGCATTCGGCCCAAACTGAGATAAGTGACACTACAGTTATTTAATTTCTTTGATTTAATTCACATGTTGTGACAAAATGTGACCTATAAAACCATACTGCTACAGATTAATTGCTTGTAATATTAATTAATTTTATAAATGATAGTATTTTTGKTTAGAGAATCTTTAAATCACTGAAATGCAAATAAAACAAGTTGGCAGGCCTTGGCATGTACCTTCTGTTCCCCATTTCTWGTGTCCTGTGTATTCAATCCCCTCACTACTGCTGATTACACTAGAAAATAAATGGACTATTCATTAATCACGGTTCCCTTTCAGAAAATAAYGGCATCTAAAAGCTAACTCATCTCAATTGAGAAGAGATTTTTATAGGCTTATATTTTCTCATTCTGCACTAGTGACGACTGTACAGAAAATTCTGTGTATTGAATTGATGTGGATATATTTATTCCTCATTTAACAGTTTTTTGTATGAGATACTCTTGAACATTTTCAAAGCAACCCAACTGTGGAATCAAAAAAGTGAGAATTTCTGTTGTGAGCAATAAGAAGAACTTTGGTTGCTGATTTTTTTTTTTTTTTTTTTTTGCAAAGATATCATAAACAGTTTAATAAATAGTAAAAAGGAAAGAAAAATAACTCCTGTCCCCAGAAACAGTATCAATCACCTTAAGCTTCCATGATATTATTTAATCCATTTTCAGCACTGGCTATTCTTGCCTGTTAATTTAATCTACCAAATCTTTTTCTAAGTGGTTCCTCATTCCACTAGATTTTTGTTGCCATTGAAATTAGATTATTCAATTTGTGTGATTTTAGTTATAAGAGAATCTTGAAACAAAATTTTGTATCTGTTTTTGTCCTTGCCTGATCAGCTCCAGTGGATTCCATTCTAGAGGCAGCTGCTGCCTATGGCAACATCCTGTGTCAGGGAAGAGGAGCTATGCAAATATCCTCCAAAGACCACATTTATCAATGACACATTGCAGTGAAATTCTCTCTTCTGAGTCTCATGTTCTGCTAACTTTTGCTAATGTTTCTCTTTTGGCTGCTGCCTGCTGTAGTATAGGTGCCCATATGCATTTTCTACTACCCAAGGGCATTTCTCTTGGTTAAAATCATTCACAACAAAAAAATCTTGAAACTCTCAATGGTTATATTTGGAAAACAAGATGCTGTACTACTGCATGGAAGATAAAACACTCCAGCTGCATGCTCTGCTTCACTGAGGCTGYGGTTAATTACAGTTGCTTGAATTTGATTTATTTTGTCCTACTCTGTTGCCCTTTTCCTGATTTTGTTTTGTTTGAATTGGCCAGGCATCACCTTCGCTATGGTATTATCTCTTATTAGTAGATTACTGTTGACTTTTTAATGATCATAGTTTTCCCACAGCTATAAACTAAAGGCAAATGGAGAGGGCGGGGGGAGTTGTGTAGATATCTAGTCCGTGCTTCGTAAGCTCTTGTGAGGCTGTGCCAAACAGGCAAACTGGCACCACGGGAGTGTGAAAGCCACCATYTCATTGCTGCAGCTGCAGGAAAAGGCAGTTCTGGTCAAAACTGGGAGGTGTGTGGGGGTGGAATTTTTGCTAAATAAAATGGAAAACCAAGAAGTTAAGAATTTGTGACACAGATGTTGCATTTCTTTTTACCTCTTTGTAAGCTTACCCTAAAATCACAGACTATATTTTAGACCTTTTCCTTGAGAGGTGAAACTAGGGTCATTTTAATTCTGAAACATTTTGTGGTTTTGAAATAATGAAATTCGTAGAGCCAAGTGCTTCAGATGTCTAGGAATGACAAATTGCAACAGACTGGAATACACTTGGATCCATTGTGGGCTCTTTAGAGTTGCAAGGCGGACATCACATCGCACAGATTAGTTTCAGAACTGACATCATGTACTAAATGTGTCCAGGGGAGACACCATGGGTTGGTATGGTTCACTGCGCTGGGAATTTCAGTGAGCAAGAATCTGGGGAAGACTTTATGACTGACCATATGGTAATGATCACTAATTTGGAATAAAGGAGATTAAGTTTAAATTAATCCCATAACTGAGAGCAGGGTGATAGGGATGTTTAGTTTTTAAATCTTCCTTAAGTCTCATGCATTTTAAGATTATTTGGGACTCTGGCTGACATGCTTAGGTGACACAATATTTGTTGAGCATCTTGTCATCTAAGGGATTGAGTCCAAGCTTTGTACACATCAGAAAATTAAAAAATGGCCACCCACATCAAGTGATGCTAAGAAGGTGATGTTTGTCAGCAAAGCAAATTTCAGAAAAATACATTAATAGTGAAATAAAACCCTAGAGTTCTGCCAGAACACATTCTGTAAAAGATTAAATATACTTCAGGAAAAAGCCTGTCAACAGTGTAACAAGTCATAAAGTTCATTAAACTAATAATTGCATTTGTAATAAACAAAAGGTTTTATTGCTCTCAAGCAGAAAAGCTTATAGAAATAATAAATGCCGCAGGAATATTACTTATCAAAAGTGTGTGGCAATAGACATGACAAATATCACAGTAAATGAGGGAACACAGTAATTTGGGATATCACAATAGAAAAGCCTGTCCTAGGAAGGTTTTATGTGCTTCCCTTTCATCAGTCTTGGGTGAACCCTCAGGTAGGAGTAATGGAACTGTCACTAAACAGAGATAGTGTGAGTGCTTACAGAAAGTGCTTTTCCGGAGCAAAGATAATGGGATAGGCCCTWCACATGGTAAGTTTACAGGAAATAAGAATCCCCAATAACTGCCCTAATTTTAATTAAATTGCTCAATGGAAATCTCTTATTTATAATCCATTACTCACTGGACACCCAACCCAAAGCAATAGCAGCTGCTTGAGTGCCTGTCTCCATTAGACAATAAAATACCAGCCATAAGTGCCTTGGACTTTGAATGCATTTGGAGAGATTGAAAAGAGCTTCCTCCATTATTACCTGAGGGTTCTGTCCATCCCAGAAAGAGAGACATTTTATCCGGCAGGAGTGGCAGCTGCTGGATGCTTTCACCCCTTCCTACCTTCCTGTTGTTGTTGTTTTTAAAGGTCTTTCCCCTTTGTCACCCCATGGGCACTGACTTATTCAGYTGAAACCTGATTCTTCATGGCAGCTTTTCCCTTCAGGGGTAACAAGGACTTTCCATTTTTTACCCATTCTTTACAGGTGCCAAATGCATTAGTGACTGGACAGGCTACACCAGATGGCCCCAGCTTTTTCTGTCTGTTACAGTGCAGCCCAGGCAGGTTGTTTCCTCCATGGGCACTCTGAGCTTTGGGCTTAGCAGGCCTAAGGGGGCACATTGCAGACAGAGTTGGTGGCCATCTCAGAGAAATGCTGGGACATGCTTTCAGGGCTACAGTTTGTGCTGTGCAGGAATAAGACTGTCAAGATCTTTTAAACAACCAACCTCACTTCCTAGCACTTTATAGCTATCAATATGGGGGGAAGAGAGCCTGTTTTGCATGCAGCAGTTCTACAGTACATAGTAGTACCACTACTAACTGTTACAGAAATCCTTCCCTGGATGTACAATTACATGTACTCTATATGTTAGCTGGGCAATATTGAGATTCCGTGGCTGTTGTGACCATTTAGCCAAGCACAAGCCTTGTTACAGCAGAATGCAAAAACCAGAGCCCTCACACTCCCTTGAAAGCAGTTTTGGTAACTGAAATGAAATTTTTTGTATCATCTGAAGCGGTCTAAGCTGTACTAAAGAAAGAGCCTCATAAATGCTTTGGGTAAAGAAAGAAAATTATTTGAATGGAAAATTCCCTTCTATGGTCCAAAAACATAACCCAAAGCTTTGTATATGAATAATTGTAAGCTCACCAAAGATAAGTTTAATACTTTATTTCTGACTCATAATTCCTTATAAGACCCTGAACCAACATATTAAATACTGAAATATTTCACATGTAAATCTGATAAACCTCTTTGGCAAGCAGTTATTTCTGCTGTTTCTTTAAATGAATTTAAATTTCTTTAAATGAGAAGCTGCAGAAGACAGAGATTCCTGGTAGAATCCTAATCAGGTGAAATATTTTTATTTATTTATTTTATTTATTTTTAAAAAGCCTAAGTGACAAGAGCCTCCTCAACAGCTTAAAGTGCAATTTGAGATACAGAGTAACTAATGCACACCACAAAGAAAGGAAGAGGAGACAAGGAAAATTAAAGATGCATAAAAGTCATGTCATTTCAGAGGTTGCGTATACTTCTAAGTGTGCAAGCTCTGCAGCAATTTTCAGACAGCAGAGGTCACATTTCTTCCTGAATGCCATACTTTTAAGTTCTCTGCTTACTTTACATTCATGATCTTACCACAGTTACTTTGCAGAGGCCAAATTATTAACAGGGAAAAAAAAGTATCAAATACCTTCTTATATGGGGCTGACCTGAAGGTGACCAAGGACTGCGGCCTCTTTGATTTACAGCTTGAACCATCAGCCTGCCCGTGCAACTCACTCTGCCCTGTTGTGATGGAGAGGAGGAACATTAAAAGACTTAAACCATGTAATAATAAATGTTCAACCCTATCTGTTCTTTTTTTGCCCACCCATTTTATCAATTTCCGATCTAACATGGAACAGACTGGAATGACTGTGACCATAATACATTCATGTTTTTTTTTAAAAAGATTGTGAGTACCACTGGCAATCAAGTCCTTTTTGACTGTTATTATTGTGAAAGGTTTCCCTGTGTATGGCAAGTGGGTAAAAGGACGAGTTCAAGGTCCTGGAAATGGCCCATGGTGATTGTTGGCAGTTAACAACAGGGTGCTGCCCTCAAAGTGGATTGATCTACTTGATCTGGTGTGSCCACAGCTCAAAAAAAACCCCATCAATGTAAAAACCAAAACAATTTGACAAGTACTTAACAGGTCCCCTCTGCAGAGTGAGCCTGGTTTGAGGAATTGTACTGAAAAGCTCAGCTGCACTGACAGACACTGGTGATAGCCAACTTATTTTCAATGAATGACAAATAAAACATGGTTCTGGTGGATTTGGTCCTCTTTTTTCTTTTACTGACAGGTTGTCCACCACAAGCACTAATCATAGTGGATTTGGGATGGGACTACTTGGAGCCAGACCTGCTGGCATTCAGGGCTCTGTGGAATTCACCTTGTAAGGAGTAAAAGCATCTGGTGGTCCTAATAAATAACAGCTCTGCCCCCTGGGCCAGYAGCAGTAAAGCCACATCCACATCAGCTTTGCAGCATATTTCAGCTCTAAGCTGTGAGCTCCACACTCGGGTCTGTCAGCATAAAAGTGACAAGTATTTTTATCACAGTAATTGCAGGGTTGCAAATAGCAGTTCTTTAGGAACTATCCAAAACCCATCAAAAAACAGTTTCACTGGGCTCACAAGCAGTCTTCAAATAGCAACAACTTTTGTGTTACTTCTAGACTGTTAGAATCTGTGTCCCACTTCTATTCCCATGACCCATTTAGTCTGCAAGAAAAATCCTTGCATTAAAATAAGCCATTGTGAAAGACCCACAGCAGTTCCTTATGTAAAAGCTTTTTTTTCCCCTTCTTGTTACAAGACTATTAAAGACATCTGGAACAAATGAATTTCTATTTTGGGCACCACTACATATTAATATTTTTCTGGCAGGTGATGAATACACATATTTTGGGATCATTTCTGCATATCTCAATACATGATGGTGTCACAAATGGAAACACAAAAGGGCAATAAGGAATTTGGATAGGGAAGGTTAAGCAGGAAGCCAAAGAATTTGGARAAGTTACAGGATGAAGAGGAAGGAAGCAATGATTGGAAAGGAATTAATGAGAAGATGTCCTAGAAATCAAGGGAACTCCAGCCTGAGGATGTGGGTGTGTAGTGCAAAGAAGCAGGGATAAAAAGAAAGAAGGTGAAAATAAGAACTCAACATGAGCCATACAGCWTATGGAAGGAGCTCAGTTAAGGGATGTGACCTGTAACTAAAGGCCTTAACCAGGCCAGGCTTTGTGTTTGTCTAGGCCCAGGGTCCATTTGCTTTGGATTAACTTCTATGGCAAATTTTACAACAAACCCCAGTGGTGTGTCAGAACTTTAATTCCAGCTCACTGCACTTTATGTAGTGGGCAATAGGGCTGGCCTTATTAACTACCATGGACAATCTCCAGAGTCTGTCAACAAGGCATTTTACACACGTAAATCCTATTGTATTAGGCCCGGTCATGTGATGGCATGAATTGGCAGAGCTTTAATGAACTGAATCCTTTGCTTTAATAAAACCAATTTCTATCAGCTGAAAGCATGCCTTTTGCTTCAGAGTTTGGTGATTCCAATAGCAATGACCAAAACACAGCAACAGCCTAGCAAATATCTACAAGTCTATCAGAGTTCTTATGTGAGCTCCCTTATATTGAAGTAGTGCCCTTTTTTAAGGAAAGGTTGCCAAATTTGTCTAAGTTTGTGATAGCTTTGAGATGTGGACAACTTTCCATTAGAATTGAGAAGGCTTTGCCAAAATTATTTCCACTCAAGATGACTTAAAAGTATTAGAATCTAGATCTTTGAGTATGGAAAGCTAGTATATTAACTCACAGCCCTTCTTTGCCTCCATTGTACTGTTAAATGCATAGTAAAAGCAAGCAAATAGTAGAAGAGATAAGTATGTTTGCCTGGGAATTACACTATTAAAAAAAAAAAAAAGATTAGAATGGGCTTGGTGAAACGCAGATGTTTTGTTTAGGGAGCCAGAGGAAGATGCTTCTGGTTCTTCTCCAAAGAGGGGGGAAAAAGCACAAATGCAGAATTTTGTCATTTAACAAAGCTGCTTTTTCAAGCTCCAAGCTGGGAACCTCACAAACCTAGCTCATTTTAGTACATCCAAAACCCCACTAACAAAGTAGTGCCATCAATGACCAGAACTGGTAACCTGGGTCACTTGTGTCATTGAATGAGCATTATGCAGGACAACTAATGCTCAAAAGTGGGCTGTAAATATTCAGGGACAGAGTACAGTGCCCAGAAACAAAGACAGTTTGTTCACCAAGTTCTCCAAGACTCCAGATTACACAGTAACAGTACACAGTGAAACTCTGTGCATGCACTAGGATGACACTTGGATGAAGATGACCAGGAGCCACTTCTTGCATTGAGCATGTATATACTTTTAAACCTGTTGTGAATTGTTACAATTTAAATGGTACCAAGTATTGTAACAATKCCATCTATGTGTAAAAACTCTCAGCTTGAACAAGTCCATGGGTTTGTGCTATTTCATTACTATTTCTCTTACTTATATATGTAGAAATAATAACCGAACTACCTATATTTAAGCACTGCAGTTTGTAGAATCTACTAAAAGCTGTTCTCTGTGTGTTGGCCATGTGTACAACCCCTTATATTCACAAGACCTCTGCAGTATGAGCGGGACTGACAAGTTAAAGAGTGAGACCGAAAGGGCAGTGTCGTGCTAAGTAACTTAGCAACGTGAATAACAGAGCACAACACTCCAGCTTAGATTAAACTCTGTCTCAGTGATACAGTTTGTTGTTCTACAGTGTGATTCTGCTTGCAGGCCTAATCTTGGCAAGATATTTGGCACTACAGAAGAAAATAATTCATTACATCCCAGAAGTTATGTTACTGCTTCAGTTTCTCACATGCAACTCTTTCCCCTCAATTTGCTGTAGTGTAGGAAAAGAGGATTGAAAAAGCTACTTGAACAGGGTAAGTGATCTGTAAGTTTAGCTGTGTCTAATGAACTGGTGGGTATGTGCTGTGTACCTCAGCTCTTCTATTGAATCTGCAAAGAGCAAAYGACAATGCTAAACCACTAATACTCTGTGTTTCGGAAAAACACTGTATAAGATCAACACAGGACACCATTCTGCCACATAACAGAGCTAGTTTTTTTTTTTTAACCTTATAGACTAGCAATCTGCCTAATGTAAGCATGTCAAGGTGTGATGTACTCCCATTCATTTCAAAAAATTGGCCTCAGTCAGTGAGTAGCATCAACAAAAGAAAATCAAATCACTGGACTCKGTTACTTCTGCTGGTAAACTGGATTTTTTTCTCCTTTTATATAAATGTGCTCTCCATGCTCAGTTAGAATACTGAGATGTTATCAGCTGAAACAACTAGTGGAAGAGTAATTAAAACTGACTCCCCTCCCCCTTGAAACCTCAAACCATAGGAAAAAAACTGCTGTTGAGTTGCTAATCCCTTGGAGATAGAAAGGTCCCACCCTACTGATGCAAGATGAAAACAGAAATCTAACTTGCATACTTTACMGTGACTTCATAATTTAATTAAATTGTGCATATGTGAGATGAGATAGTTTTCTGAAGATTTATGTCCAGAAGGATGTTTGCTCTGGAGCCAAACCTTCATTTACCTGTGGGTTAGCAGCCATAATAGTGTAATTCCCATCATCATCCAGGGTGGAGGCTGCAGTATGCAGTGAGCAAGTTCCATCAAGTTCTCTTTGAATTCGGTAGTGATCGCTTCGTTTAGAAATTTGCTTCCCATCTTTAAACCAATAAATCTGCAGGAAAAAACAAGGTACAGCTGGTAAGAGGTGGGTGCTCATTGTCATAATTTCTCAATTAATAGCACTAGCAAATCTTAACTGCTGAAAAACACTGGTAAACATTAAAAGAAAACCACTTTAATCAACTCCTCATTCCATGAGCCACTTTCACTAACAGTTACGAGTTTATCTGAGGACCAAAGAGAAAGAACAGCCTGAACATTTTCCAACAAAATGTACAAGTGCATAAGGGCTGAACATTTCAAGAACTGAAATTAAATGTCATTACAAAGAAAAGTTCTATTTCAGAGAAGATTGCTAATTTTATATTTATTTTGCTTAAATCTGAAGAGGTTGCAGAAAGAACTTAAGGATGCTATTGCTCTCTTTTCAGAAAATAAAAACATAAACCCAGATAATGATAGGCTTAATTAATTCAATAATGAATAAAATAGAAGCAATGATCTCATTGTTGAAACACCGTTTTGTCCCATATCCATTACGCTGACTGGACTGGACCAAAATGCCAGAGGGGATAGAGCTGCTCCCGCTGGCAGTGAGCAGCTCAATGTGTGGAGGGGCCAACTCAGCGTAAAGACATGATTGAAACTAACAGTGTCACCCTGGTGTGACAGGCCAGCTACGCCAGTGGACAGCTTTGCAAAGTAATAGGAAATGCTTCAAAGCAAACCAGCACACTGACATCCGTTAATGACTGCATGCCAACGCCAGCACAGCTCCAAGCTGCACTGAGCAGTTACATTAGCTATCCAACAGAGGTCTTTTCCAGTACTTTTGATACATAATTTTGTTCTCTGGCTGACCCAAGATATACTTTCAGTGAGCCAAAGAAATGATGTATGCAGGATAATATCTTATAGTAATCCATGAATTACAGAAAAAATGTRTATTTTTAGTGCCTCAAATTGAAGGGAAAAAATTGACCTGGATTTCAGGATTTGAAAAAAAATATTATTATAATAATGTAAAATCTCAAACTTCTATCTGCTGGAATCAAAAGTAAATGTTGTGTATGCATGAACACACACACAGGGATATCTGAAAAATGTTATACTAGGAAGGCTGTACTCAGCTGCCCAAACCCATATTTAAGTAGGACATTATTTACTTGTCATTTCTGAAATGTGTACTGCACCATGACATCAGTTGTGTTCAGAATTTCAAACACTTGTGCAGATACCTATGCCATTTTTATGAGGTCAGCTCATACAAAGTACAATGTATTTGTGCTGGTCCTGCKGGGACTATTTAGCGTGAGGGAAACACACACATTTTGCTCAGTCTCATTCTTGAAGTGCAAATTTAGGTCTTATGAGTGAGGAAAGAGTGATGGCTCTCTAGTTAGAAAATGAAGTGATGAAGCAAAGCATTATTCCATTCCTGTTAGGGTTTAATCTGCTGGTTTCTTCATATGTGTCAACATATTGAAACTTGCAATTCACTCACTTGGGGGGAAAAATAAGGATATACTTTTGAATTTCACAAAAAATGGGAGATTTTTTTTTGAGAAAATGAATGTAAATTTTCACAATAAATTTATTACTGTGTATGATTTTTATAACTAACAAGCATCATGCGTAAGTTGAAATGATTTCATTTCCTCAATAGCTGGTTATACTTGTTTCCCATTTTGTCTGTCAGCAGCCTTGCAGAGACTCTGTGGTCCTAACAAAAGATTAGTCATGTCTTCTTGTCTGCTGACAGAGCACTTACTGGAGATGCAAGAGATATTTGATCACTTATATACACATGCTAATGGGTGCTAAAACAACAGAGCTGCAAAAAAAAATGAGTTTGAACTTGCATGCTTTACATGTGTCATAATGTTGCTTGGAAATCTACTGCATTAAGTAGTAACTATTAAATAACACTACACTTATCAGAAATATCAGGAGACATGCATGGAAATACACACAAATATTAACTGAACCAGCTATCCAAACATCATGCCTATGTTGTCCAATACTTATTTCGACTAAGTTTAAAAACACTGGCATCCCATATGAGCAGTAAATTCTTAATATTACCTTTATCTGACATGGAGTTAATAAGTAAAACACTACCACTGCAGGAGACAAAGGCCCTTGCAGTAGAGTATTTTCTTTCTAGAATAATTTTAATAAATGTACCATTAAACTATGTAAGCACTGAACACTGGATCTGGATTGCTTCTATTTGCACCAGATTTTCAGAAACCAGTGCGTAGTGACTAGCAATACAATGGGATACATAGTACAAAGGGGGGTGTGATCTTGGGCAGCACAGTCATTTTTAATCACCAAGAATTATATTCAGCCATTTGAAGAGTGAGCAGTATGAGATTTATGCAACATTTGTGTCTCAATTAACCTCTTGCATGGCGTTGCCCTAATTCTGAAGAGCAATGATCCCGTAAAAAGAGGTATTCCATAGTCCCTCCTGTAGCACCATAGGTTTCTCATTTTGATGAGAAAATAGTTTTACATKACACCAAAGGTTGTAACGAAAAGTAGACTCAGATTTAAAAGGTCATATATATGAAGATGGAATTTTCACATCAGTATTCAATTTACATGGCGAGTTCAGGGGAAAAAATAATCAAGCCAATAACCCTGCTTAGAAAAATCCCTTGTAATGAATGCCAGATTTTAGAAACACTACAGTCCTTCCCTAAGCCATTCCCTGGCAGACCTGACAGAATACTTAGAAGGGAGGAGCTTCGAGTTAGTAAATTATTTCCAGCTTTTCATCTGCCAAAGTAAAAAAAAAATATTCACGAGCAACACTTCCAGCTTCAACAAATGACAGCAAAAGGGCAGCCCTCAGCCACTGAGSTTTTCACAATTGCTGTCTGGGCATGCCCTGAAGATGAGGGGGAGATAGAGCCTTGGCCTTTGCAAAGCCCAGCTAACAAGTAGCCATACAAGGGGACTGATATTGGTTCCATCCCAAGCAACTTAACAAATCACACAAGGCATCTTCCAGTGAATGCAWCAAAGGCCCACAGTTCCAGGTGCAAGAGCAAATCACTTCTTAATGTGCTTGCTTTGACACTGCAGGAAAACAGAACAGGGGYTGTGAGTCACAGCGCATTCACATCAGATGCTCCTCTGTAAAGGCAGCTTTGGGGGAAGTACTAAGAATGGGGTTTCTTGGCTGTGCAATCCTTATTGCCCCAGCGAGGGAAAGGAGACATCCTCTTTCATCTGTCTTAAATCAGACAGAGAAACTACACCTTAATTGGAAACTGTGGAAATTAGGGAATGGTGAAGTTGACTAAGGCTGACTCATAATAGGTTATCTAGCAGCTTAGTCATAAGCCTCAGGCAGAAGGAGTATCTCTGCACACACTGCATTTCTGCCAGCAACAGACCCATTTGTCTTTCACCCTTGTTCAGCACAACAGACTCTTACCTACGGTCATCTCAGAAGTCATGCTAGACGTGAAAATTTGGTTTCAGTCAGACTGGGCTTATCTTCTCAGTGTGTGTCTTCAGGGTAAAGCAGGAGTACTTTTCTGATATAAGTATACTGATCAACCCCACTTACTTTGCAGTGGTTCACATCATGTTGTGCTCTTGGAACACAGAACTGGATTCCTTTCAGATGAAACTAAGCCAGAAAATGTGCTCCAAGAACTCATCTAATATGCTGCATCTGCTTCAGTCTGTGGGATGAGATTAGAGCTAGCCTGGAGTAAAACCTTCTGAAATGTGTGCAGGGATGGATATTGCATTCCACAGATTTGCTTCTTCTGGTCTGCACTACTTGCTGATGTAAATGTAGCCCTTGTTCTCTGTTGTTCTTTCTCTGCTACCTGATAAAGTTGTTTGTTTTTTTTTTTTTTCAATTAACAGTTTGTACACTATCATACACATGTAGCATTGGGCATGTAAAGTCACTTGTATTTATCTCTGTACAAAATCCTCAATACCCGTAAAACTTACACTAGATGAGAGATTTGGATCTGAGTGCTGCTGTGAAGATCATATACAACAGGTTGGGCATCTTTGATCTTGTCTCAGAAGACAAGAGCCCCTATCCACGAGAGGTCACTCTAAGAGCTGCAAGGATCTCATGGGGAAGGCACCGGCTTTGGCAAGGGAGCTGAAGAAGCTGCTGCTRTTTGCCTGCTGCATAGTGAGTCAATTGATTGCCAAGCAAGTTTTGAAATGGTTACATGCAATCTTACCCAAGGAAGGCATTCTTCCAGACTACTGACATCACACAACTGGTACTTTTACATTTGCTTACAAGGAAATGCTTCCCAAACCCAACCCTTCCTCAGAAGTTCATCATTAAAACCTCACCATCATGTCTCATTTTGCTGTTGGGATATATGGAAGCTTGTGTTATTTTCTTATGCCTTCTTCTAAATTCCAGTAAAATTTAGTCTTATTAGTGTGTGTAAGTGCTGAGGAATGAGAGATACCACGCTGGCTCCTGAACTAGAACACACATATTTTGCATCAGCATGTTGCCATGCCTGAACTAGTTACCCATGCTAGCAAGATGAGGGGGATTTTTGGGACTCCTGTGGCAGCTCATGTGGGACTTTCTAGCATTGCACTGCATTCTGTCCTACAGATATACCCTGGAGGTAACTCTGAAAATGACAGAAGCATTACTTCCAGGTAAAATAACTGAGAAAAAATTCTCAGGAGGGAGTAACTGAGAGCAGAAGCCTCATAGTAAGATTTTTGACTAAATAACTCCAATTATGACAAAAGAGATTTGGCATTTTATGCCAGATAGGAGTCTTTCTTGTCAAATGTGAATGTCTCCTGTTCCTGTAAGATATAGCCCATATAGTCCAGAGCCTAATGCTAAAGTACCATCACAGAACTCTTCAGAGAAATTCTAGAAACATTTATCCTTTTTTCTTACCTTTGGCTTTGGATTTCCTGCCACTTTGCATGTAAATGTGACTGGCATTCCCTCAAAGATTTTGTAGTGCTTCAGCTTTATCTCAAAATATGGTGACATACTGTTATCAGTAGGTTCATCTCCATATTGCACTTCGTCATCTGATTCTTCCACAGGAGATCTCTCCAGCCTGTATTCAATTTCACTGATCAACCTTTGCTCAAAGCTGGAGACTTTATATTCCTGTCAAGTGAGAGGTAGATATTAGTGTCCAGCTTGAACACATTGCTCAGGAAGATATGTTCCTAATGTTTGGTTTTTTTTTTTTATTTTTCTGATCTTTAACAATCCATTAAGTTTTTACATATAAAAGGAAACTGTATCTTGTTGAAGAAAACCACTAAAATCCATGTCTCCAATAACTTTCCTATGAAACAATCGAGACATCTGGTATAAGGCAAAAACTGTATTTCGTGTTGTCTTAAGATCTAATTTATAAAGGAAAGAAAGTCATTGATTGCTTTCTTTCCATTTTTCAAAAAAGCCTCTAAGAGTATTCTGAGGCAGTTCATAAAGACAAAAGAAACACACTAATATTTCCTTGCGGGTACAGACAGATTTAGGGTGGGTTTTGTTTCCAGATGGCTAGGAGACCATATGGTTCACATCTGCTATTTGCATAGAACTGTACCAGAGGCTGAACCAGAAGGATAAAATTATTTTGTTTACAGTTGCCTGTAAAAAATGAGGAAAAAAATAAGAGAAAATGGCAACAGCAGTCCATGATTGTTGTTTCCCCCTATTCCTGTTGTCATGGCTCCCTTTGTGTGGCCAAAAGTATCCCTTCTTCCTTAAAAATAAAATTTATTGTAAGAGTACTGACAATATAGCAAAAAGAGCAGAAAGGTTCATCAAGTGTAAAACACTACCACTTGTTTGAATTTGCTGTGATTTATTGTGATATACACTGTTATTTGCTTTCTTGAACTATCTACTTTGCAGTACAGAATTCCTGCTYGGAGTCTTAGTGATGACAGTGATAATGTCAGGATGTAAAATAGCTCAGAAGCAGGAAAAAAAAAATAGTCAATGCTCTTCTCAGTCAASAGAAATTCAGACACTCTTTCAAATTACCTTTGTCCATTGTCTCTGACCCTAATTGTATTTAAGACAGAACATGCCTCTCATGCAGTGTCTTTTCACATCCCCATCCTCTGTCACTGCTCTRTTCTGAGAATTGTGTGTTGTGTTTCTATGGTCAGCTACAGAACTAATCATAATGCTCAAAAATGACAACAAATAGGAAAACAGAGAAATACCTTGTAAATTGCAGATAGTTTTAAAATGTCTTTGTTCCCTGAAGTGTACCATAAAAATAAACCATGAAGTACACAASACAGTTAGTATCATATCAGTGTATGTTAATAGTACAGCACAAAGACAGTGGAGCACACCATGATTACTGTTAAACTGCCTGCACTAACACAGTGAGGCCTCCAGAACAACTTGAACATCCTGAAGACAGTGCAGCCCAATTCTCCAGTTATTAATGCAARATGACCTCTTTTTAATAACCAAGAACAGTAGAATGGGAAGGGGATAGAGAAAAAGAAGACAAAAAAACAAGACAGAAAAAGGTGAAAATGTTAACCTTTTGCATATCCACAGGACTCACTACAGAAGCACCAACAGAGCGAGCTTCCTGCAAGAGCAGAGAAAAAGATCAAGAGGCAGAAAGAAGACCAAGAGATATCCATGACAGTTCCTCAGGGTTTTTATCAGGGGAATGTACTTTGTGTGCCACCATAAGCAAATGAATGCTACACATTTCTGAATAGCAACGCTGGCAGCTGAAAAATGGAGAGCATGTACCTGGCCTTTCAAGAAGACTTTCTGTTGTGGTTTTGGTCTGCACTTAAAAAGTGCCTTTTACACAAATAAAGAGAAGGTGGTTTCAAGATAGTAGAAGTGTTTTTGCCTTGAGAGACTTAAAGTTCAGGACCAAACAGGATACATTGAAGAGTTCAAAGCAGACAGCAGACATTTGAGAAGTCTCATCCTTATGGAAAAACTGAACAATAGGCATGTGATCCTCCAGTTTACTTCACTAATATATAACATATATTATGACTTCTGTAATCAATAACCATCCTATCTTGTTTATATTTATTGCCTAATGTAGGACTTTATTTTAATGACAATCACAATCTGTAAAAAAAGAAAAATTGAAAGGCATTATTTCCTATGAAATTGTAGAGTTATGTGTACCTGTATAGCAGGGTCTTCTTCTGGTTCCTGTATATTGAAGACAGTTGCAGCACTGTCTGCTCCCAGCAATCGACGAGCCATTTTTTCCTCATATGTTAATCTCTGAACAAAAAATAAGAAGGGGGTGAGGGGAGAGGGAGAAGAAAAAAAAGTTATTTCTCCAACTACAAAGCAGAAGGCAGTCAGCAATGCTTAAAGTAATATTAATAAAAGAGAGCAGCAATATGTTTCTAACAGAAATTTTCTACCACCGTTTGTAATGCATTTTTTTTGTATTACAAGTGGCTCTTTTGGCTTAAGCAGCCCTTGCCCTGAYTCTGCCATTTGTTTCCATCCTCCGGCCAGGAACTTGGGCAGGAATGAGCAATAGGAACTGCTTAAATCAACATGGCCATCAGAAGAGGGCGTATGAAATCATCTCAAATCTTACTCCTAGTCATTCTGCTCAATTTTTACATTAGAACCACAAGGCAGAAAACTCTGCCAAAAATTATAAGGAGATTCTACTCTACTTGAATATTTTGTCAAAAATATAGAAAAATGTATTCTATAAGAGTTTAAAATTTTTATTTCTTCTTACTCTTTTGGAAATTGAGGAGACAGCTTATAAGAGATAATTTACACTCAGAAGATGGAATGAGTTAAAGGAAAACCTTAATGTATAATTCAATTATTTCATTATTAGTTTTCTTTCTGCATTCAAGAATGCATTCCAGACACTTTCTTACAAATCAACATTGAAAAAAACCTGCAAGTTTATGGAAGACAAACTCATTTCATGGTGAAATACCTCACTTAAAGAGAAAAATGAATCAAGAATGGAAGATGTAAACATTACATCTACTTCATGCTTGCATTTTTAAAAAAGCTCATTCAATTATTTTTTTAAAATATGTCATCTTGCAGCAGGCTGAAACCCATGACAATTAGGTGGCAATGCTGTCTTGGTTACAAGTGTCTAAGAAAATCTTGAACTTTTCTCCACCTGTATTTGTACTGCAATCACTCCAAGCATCCACAGGCACAATTACACGTTCAGAATTTACCCAAGACAGAAATCTACAAGGCAAAAGCCTCAAGGCAAACACCAAACCAGAGTTTCTTTAGTTCAAGTTCCCACATCATCTGATCACAGTTGGTCCCTTTTATTTTTTTTACCTTGGGCCATGTGGGCATTCTCAGGACATTCCATTCATTTGCCCAGGCCARACATCTCCCTCACTTTCCAAAATAGGCATTGACACTCAGTCTCAGCCCATCTCCTTGGAAAAAAAGAAAGGAACTAATACACTATGGCAGTGATTTTTCTTAACTGCTACAGAAAACTGCCAAAGCCTGTGCAGTCAGTGGAGAAAGGTGAGTACAGAAGCACCAGTCACTCTGAACATCCTCCCTCCTTCACTCCATTGAGCTTATTAAGAGCTYGAGTCCAGCAGTTTGACTCAATAGGCTTTCTTGAACTACACCACCACAGTCCACAGCTCACAGCTGGTAGCAAAGTTAGTTAACTTCTGGGCATGATCCTGAAAATTACGCTTCCTTTCAAAGTRACAAAAAGGCATCCCAAGGTATTCGGATGCTTCTAAAAACATTTTATTGACAAAAGAGGGGTGACAGCTCACATTTTTAAAATTACTTTCAGCTTAAAAATAATTTCTGCTTCAARGATAGTGCCTTAATAACTGTAAAAAATTCTTGGAAAGTTGTTTCTCATCAACACTGAGCAGAAAGAATTTGGTGTTTTATCTTTTATGTGTATCCTAAAGTGCACAAAAATGAATGGAGATCTTGGTGGCTGTGCATTTCCGTTGCCTGATACGCTCATYTTACCTCATTTCCTGACGTCCTCATGCAGGTCATTAACTCTTGAATCTGTGAGTACTACAGGTTATTTCTGTTTCATTGGTCAAAATTCTATTGGTCAAAAGAAGTCCCCCAGCCACAGAATCTAATGATGCCTGATTCTTACTGAGTTTTTTTCTCATGATGAACTGATGACCAATTATCACCTATTCCTTCCTGCATTGTCCAGTGGCTGAGCACAAGGTAGAATGAGCCTGGACAGAACGAGAGCTATGCATGTTCATCTACTCAGTCATGAGCAGTCCAAAGCAAATGGCCCTTGAGGCTCAAAAAGCCCTTGAGGTACAGACTATGAAGGCTTCTTATGCAAATTCACCATTTTTAAGACCTCCACTTCTTTGTTAAATCCAAGTAAAACTGTCAAACAAGAGAAGGAATGATATAACAAAATGTACACTATCATTCCTTTTAGAAACACAGTTTTGAAAATTCAATTAAAGATAATAAACACATAAAAAGCAATCTACAACAATTATTGTGCAGCATATCTCAGAAACTGCCAATGATGTCCACTCCCACCCACTCCCATTCCTCAGGGTATTTGGTGTATTTGTACCGGTTGCCCATTGTTCAAAAGGTCTTCTTTGAAGCGAAGTTTTCTCTCCAGATCCTGAATTACAGCATCTTTTGAACCTTGAATTTCTTCATCTGATGCTATCCTAGCAGTTCTGCCTGTTTTCTTGGGAAATCCCCTGCAAAACAGTACAAAAAAAATCATGAGCTTTTCTGAGGTCATTCATATTTAGGAATTTATCTGGAATCACTGCTATTAATGAAAACACTGTGTCTTTGAAACTAAAGGTCTGTTATCTTTCTTACCATGGTGTCCCTAGTAACTTACACCACTGATTAAATGGTTAGTATAAGGACAAAGCTGAAACTATGCTTTAATTGTGCTTTAGTTAAAATAGTCCTCAGGATTGCTTGGCAATGGCTGTAAACACCATACACTCAGAGATGAAACTGATGAGCAGTGGCAATAAAGCAGAAGGAGAGGAAACATGAAAGAGAAAGCTAGATAAGTAGGGATGTCTAGATAAGTAGGGATGGAAGATAAAGTAGGTTCCTAAGAAGTACCAGATGAAGAAAGATCAGGAAGATGTAAGACAAGGCAGTTAAATATTAATATCTTATGTTATTAATTAACTAATTCCTTGTAACGACTTTGCAATACACACTGCACAACTTCATGTTTATTCTTCATATCTCTGTGAACACATACCCATAAGGCAACATGCAAAGGTTGTTGCTCAAAGTAGAGCCATTCACAATGTCTGGTTTACACTAGCAAAAAGAAAAACCATTCCTGTAAAGCTGTTTTCAGCAGCAAGATTTCCCAGTGGAAAACCACTCAGGAGTTTGCATTCACAGGGCTAATTTATTCCTCTTACCAGCCTACAAGTTAGGATTGCACTTTCAGCAACTCTCACTCCCATTTTCTTAAACGGTACAGGAAATCTTATTTTTCCTAATATTTAACCCTTTTCAGTAATGTTATGATGGCTTTATTGCAGGAAATGCTCAGTGTAGGTGGTTTCTACTGGAGATCAGCTGTTTCTAACACAGTTGTGAAGAAATCAGCATTGCTAACACATTTGAGACTTGTAGCACACGCCATTTCTCCAGTGAATTCACACATTATTGTTTGAAACACTGACACTTGTTCAATATTACTTCATGGAGCTTTTATACCTTCATCAAGTACATAGGGCTCAGCCCATTACATGAGAATGACATGGAAAACATGGAATGGAATTAGATAAATAGACAAACTCAGATGTCAGAGGTGGAAAAAAAAATCAGACTAGCATGTAACTGGTAAATTTATTTCCAATACACAACATAATAATTTAATTACCAGTACCAAAATGCTAAACAAGAATCATACAGAGATAACAAATTTTCTTGGATATTATTCAAGTCTATGTTTCTAGTACATGGTTAGAAAAACTTCATTATTCAGCAAGTGCTTTAAATGGTAATTTTTATCCTTAGAAGAAATGAAAAAATACCCATATACTGCCAAAAGCCAAAAAGGAATTAAGTGAATAGATGGAGAAGACAATGGTTGGAAACATTCCTAAAACATTTCATATTCTATTGCTGTAAGTCAATATAAAATGTGAAAACAGTGAAGTTCTTGTAAAAAGAACTTCATTTTTACATTAAATCACAGCAGAAGGGTGGACATTTGTCTAAATTCACAAAGAGATGGAGAACTACATCCCTTGTCCTAGAAATACTCATCTGTTACCTGGTGATCACCAAGTAGAACAATTCCCTCAGCCTCTGGCTGGGGTCTTCTCAGTCACAAATAAGAAAGCAAGTCTCCTCCTCACTGTTTTGGGGAAGGGACAGGAAAACTATCCCATCTACAGAGAGACACGAGAATGCTAGGAGGAAGGAATAAGGTCTCTTCAAGAAAGAAGTGCTTTAATAACTCCAGAAATTTGGTATAGTAAATGTAAAGGATGATATGGAAGGAAAATGAACAGGAGAAGGTAGGAAGAAGGGAGTCAGAAGGAACATCCCTCAGGAAGGCTCAGCCAACTGCTGGAAGGCCAATGTACAGGTGGCATCTGTTTCTCGCCTGACAGTTCCCTTCACCTCCCAGCCCTTAAACCRTCTAGTCCAGCACTGCCATGGAACCCAAATTTTATCATTTTTTAGACACACTTCCCTCTAAAAAAATTTAAAAACTCAAATGACAACAACAAAACCCAAAAAAACTAAACAAAACAAAACAAAAAAAAAACAAACCAAAATCCCCAAACCAAACCCACAAATTGGCCAACTTTAAGGCAGCAAATTTCAAGTTTGGCTTCACCTTTTGCTTTACCCTGTGCCAGCTTTTAATGGAAACAACACATCCTCCCTTGAAAATTCAAAGTGATACATTAAGAAATAGCTTTCATTTCTCATTCTCACAAATTTCACACTTGCTTGATGAACAGAGTTTTACCAGAAAATGTTTGGGACTCAATAGGCTGAAAAGGTGAAACGTACATTCCACCCAAGTCAGTCACAACAGTGTGCGAAAAGAAAGATGAGCTGCTTGGGAGGGGATCTCAAGCAAAAGGTTTTCTGAAGCATTATTGATTACCTCTGAAAACAAACCCCCCTAAGGAAATACACACATTTTTCACAGGGGAGTGGGTACCAAGAGAAGCACAGGTTACTAAGTGCGATATCCATGCTAAACACAAGAAAACAGTATCACAGTCCATTTCTAAACAATGTAGGATAACAAGAAAATGAAAATTGAATCACATCAAACCTCATGTTTATCTCTCTGTCAGGCTGAAAGACATGCAGATAGGCAACATGAAGTAGCTTTGACAGACTTCAGTTTATGGTTTCTGAGTTAGCCTTCAGGAGCTGCAGTAAGTTCTCTAGTAAATCAGGGAGCAAAGTCTGGCTGAAATTTCTATTATATGGGTGCATAAAACTATTCAGTCTGAAAAAGCTACTCAGAGGACTAGTGACTTCTTTTTCTATCAAACTGAAAAAATATAGTCCGCTGAGGTCTTTCAAAGGGCTCTGTGTACTAAGTATARTATTTAGGATTTTGGCCTTAACAACAGGAAAAGTGAAATAGAAAAACACATTTCTTAAATTGGCTGATAACACTGAGCTTGTAGAGGTTGCAATTAATTTGCAGGTAAGAACTGTCACAATAATCTTCATAATTTGTCTAGAGATATGCTAATGATGAAACTCRGGAAAATGCACAAAGCATGATAGCTGTGCTAATGGAAAATTAGCATCAATATGTTAAGCATCTTGAGAATCTATGAGATTAAAACTTGGAAAACAACAGTATTATTTCAAAAGGGAAAGAAATATAATTCCAGGATGTGTCAGCATAAAATACGAAACTTAGCTGTTTTCCTTTATTTCTTGCTGTTAGACACTGAATCCAGTTTTCCCACTGCACTTCAAAAAAAAAAAAAAAAATCAGCAAACTGGAAAGTTTTAGAACAAGAAAACTGCCACATGGTTTTAAAGACATAGTTTTTGTGACAAACTGTGTCACACACACAAAGACTCTTGTTTATTTTGTTGGGAAATTAGCAGAATGAAGATAGATAGGCAAATCAAACAAAATGTCAGAAATCAGACAATAGTTGACATCAGAAAATAGCTGGTACTTCATGATTCTCCATGTCCATTAAGGATAGTAAGCCTCAGTAACTTGAAGAAGAACAGGCCTAGCTTAGACATAAATAATGCAGAACTCTTCTTTCTCCACCCTACAATAGTGACATTTAAACCCTGGAGCAAGTTATGTAGGGAAACTTCATAGGAATTTTATTTAAGAACAAGTATGCAAATATGACAGCAATGGCTTGGGGATCCCTGGGTGACTTTTAACAGGAGAGGCAGGTCTTTGGTTTTGTGTAAGATCATCCTGAGGGTTGCACAATCATTGTGGAAGTGTCATGCAAGACCTAGTCAAGGCAACTTGCCTGAAAAATAGTTTATCTTCCCTTTATTTATGTTTATAATTAAGTATTTAAGCAAGGAAGCAGTTGATTCAAAAATTTAACTATAAAAATGAGCACTGATTACAATTTCTTCTAATACTTTCAGAAAGCTCTTTCTCTTTTGGGGCTATTTTAAATTAGGACACAAACCCGAAAGGGGTGCATAAGGAGATGCAGCTYTTCCTGCAGATGCTCTGTTTCCACCCCCTCTTCAGAATCACCGTCTCTAAACATATTCACTTTAAAAACTGTCCAAATATATAATATATGTATATATGTGTATATATATGCATACATATGTACCCCTACAGCAAATTAACTCTTAAGACATTCATTCTTGGGATGAATCTCAAAATGTCTACAAAGCAATGATAATGAATAGAAGGACTTTAGTAAATCTATGGTCCGAAGCAGAGATTCTTTCAGCCTGAGTGATGGTTTACATGGCAAGAGAGCCTGGCAGCAAACTTTCTTCAGCTGCTTTTCCAAATATTTTCCACCATCCCTACATGCCCTTATCTGGATGCATTTAGCTCCAAAGATTTGTGTCCTCAGTGACTCATGAGCTTTCTTTCTGTCTTCTCTCTTGGATAATATCAAACAAAAAATCTGCCAATTCATTTATGTATTTGCAAGTTCATTCTTTGCTCAATGCAAATTTCAAATTTGCTGCATTAAGCTAACAGGAGAAGGCATATTTCAGGATATCGACAGTCTCAGTCTCAAGCACAGAACCACCACCAGAAATGTGCAGAGAAACTAAAAGCCTTGAGAAGCAGGCTGCAACTCGTAGGGATTTTAAGCACCCCTAAAATATGCATCACCTAAGTCAGCAGGAGCCTGGATCCTGCTGGCGTAGATAAAAGCACAAATGTCTGAATTCTTTTGGTCAGAAAGGGTGCAGTGAAATTGCCAAAACTGTCATCTTAATTCACACAGAGATTTTTGACAGCAAAGATTTTTGCAGCCTCGGCTTGGCTCTCTTTAGTTTTGAATATTTGCCCTGACATTTGTTTAGAAAGAAGGCCAAACCAGCAGTACTTTTCATGTTTTAATTACACAGAGGGCATGCTGGATGCAATTCCCTCTTTTCCTATGTACCTTTTACAGTGTAAACAAGGGCAACAGGCTGGCTGTTGTTATCCTTCCAAGAACAAATTCCTGTTTGCAGCCAATCTGGCTTGGTCTGACAGAAATCCAAATTA